ACTAGAGAAGGAAGAGGTTGAAGATGTGGGGTAAAGATAGAGGCAAATGAGGAGCAGGTCCTGGGGAGACAGGGGGAGACGGGGTCAGCCGCCCCGACAGGCGCTTCCGAGCTCCCGCCAGCCGGCTGGCATTTACTAGGCACCGACCATGTGCTACACACAGGACATGGGGACACACGGTGAAGGATGGACCACGTTCTGACTTAAGGGAGTTTACATGTACGTGGTGAGACAGACAATAAGTGAATAAGTCAGTAAGTTTTAGGTAATGAAAATAACTCCTAGGAAAAAGCATGCAGGGTTACGGGTTATGGGGTTACGGATGGAGGGGGCTGTTAAGAAGGTGCAGGCGCCACTTTGTGAGGAAGTGGCAGTCCAGCAGAGACTGGATGCAGGGAGACTGGGGGTCCCTGCAGGTTGGCGAAGGCTTCTGGACAGAGGCGGCTGGGGCACAGAGCCATGCGGGTGCAGCTGAGCGACTGCAGACCACTCTGCAGGGCTTGAGCAGGGAGGGCGTGGGAGCATGCACATGTTTACACACACTGGATATAGTGGAGGAAAGTCAGTAGGGTCCACGGTGCAAGCAGGAAAGCGGATGATCTCGGCCAGGTGACAGATGATGGCAGCTTGATTTAGGATGGTGACCAACAGATGTGTAGAGAAGTTATAGTCAAGGACGTATTTTGGAGGAGTAGCTAATAGTGTTACAAGAGAGAAATTAAGGATGGCTACTAGGTTTCTGACTGAACAATTGGGTGTATGGGGCAGGGAAGACTGGGGGAGGGGCAAGTTTTAAAGGAAAACCCAGTTTGTTGAGAACGTCTAAGCGGACACGCCATGTTGCATAGGCAGGTGGATATTCAAACTGGAGCTTAGGGGACAGTACTAATATCTATACATCACATCATTCCACCTGCTTAGAATCCTCTGGTCAGTCCTCATCACCTTCAAGACAAAACCCAAGCTCCAAGCTCCACAGAACTTGGTCCTGCACACAGCTGGTTTAGGTGTCCCTCTTCTCAACACCAGGACCAAGGGTACTCCGCTAATAGTGAATGACCTTGGACAAGTTGCCTAGAGTCTCCGTCAGGGAGACCAAACGAGGCAATGTGGGGCCTAGTGCTTACGCATTGCCTGGTGTAGATGAAGCACTGTCCACGTCATTAACTACAACTACAGTATCACACAGTTGTGTAATTATTTTCACGTTGCTTTTTCCCAAGAAGATATGAGCCCTTGAGTACAGCCATCGAGCCTTTCATCTGTGCTTCTGGCACACTTCAAGCCTCACTAATTATTTCTGACACGAATGAATGAGTTAATGAATGAAAAAAATAGCTTGGGCTGTAATCACAGTATGAAATGAGCTGGCAGGTTCTTCCTGAGTGGGCTTCTGGGTTTAGAAGCTATTCTCTGTGGGTGAATGTGACTCGTATGATCTACCCCTCATCAAATAAACACGTCTGGGTGGTGTATCCTAGATTATATTTTGGT